TGGACCTAACCATCCAGCCCGGTTTTGTGTCTTTTGGCTGTTGTGGGGGACTGGGTGACCTTTGGTGACCTTTTAATAAATTGTTAATAACTCAAAATTGAAAGGAGATAGAATGGAGATTTAAAAACGGCACAACCCGGCACAAACGTGGCATTAAACATCCAGCAAGTTTAATGTCTTTTTGCTGTTGTAGGGGGGCTGGTGATATCATCTTGAAAAAAAACAATTGCTATTATCTTTACAATAAAAGCAGCATAAATGTTAATGTTTGCGGCACAAAACAGCACAAACGTAGCACTTAAAAAAACACACTGGAGTTTTTATTTGTACTGATTGCAGGGGGGCCAGCTTCGCTGAGCTGTATTTTTTATACCTAAGAGGCAGGATGATAAAAAAAAAGGTAGCAGCTTAAGATTTTAATAGTTATTATTATTTAATAGTTACTTCTAACTTGAAGAACTAAGAATTCTTAATGTATCCACAGTAGCTACAATTCTGTTTATAATTTTTTAGCATACTATTGTTTTTTCACATAAAGTATGGAGAAAAGGAAGTATTGCCTTTGGTCACAAAACTGATAGTAAATGAACAGCTGGAATTTGATTTCCAGCTGTACCGGAAACAAATATAGGATATATTTATTAATATCCAGAAAGGTACATTTTAGTACATAATCATATTTTACATTGCAGCAAATCACTGAAAATGGTATATGGCTACACTATTAACACAGCTCTACAAAGTGAAATTATTTTGTCTGGTTTTTTTTATGGGTAGCTGAGTTCATTCTGTGTATCAAGTGAGCCTGGTGCCAGTTATCGTCTTGTCCTTTCACATGGATTTCATTTTTACAAATAAATTAAGCTACTGTCTGCAGACTGGGCACTATGGAAAGATGACCTTGCAGTTTTGTTTCTCAAATAGGGAATGCATGTGCTATTGAAGGGATGGCTGTAGTTTTTATAGATAAATCCTGTACGTGGAAGAATGATTTAAAATTTACACTGTTTCTGTTCATTTGTCAGACCGTACCACTAAAACCAGTGAAATTATTTAATGGGGCAGTACAAAGAAAATAATGGTGTAGATGGGGGATGTTGCAGCAGTAGTGTTTTTTTGTTTTTTTCATAAACCAAATACAATATGTAAACATCCCTGAGCTGTGGTTCACATCTAGGCGGCACTGTTTTTGCGCATTTGTACGCGTTAGCAGCATGCGGTTATTTGCGTGATGTGCACGTTTGTATGTGCGTTTTAATGCGTGTACATGAAGACGTGCGTTTTGATTGGCAGCTCATAAACCATTGTGGGCAATGGAAGAACACGTGTTTTTGGGCATTTCCAATGAAGTCTATGGGGAGGAAAAGCGTTTTAAACTGCTCAAAGAAGCTCCTGTATTTTTTCAGGCGTCTGATGTTTTCCTGTTTGCCGTTTTTCTGCTCAGGCCAGAAAATGATGGGATTTCTTGTGTTGGGCAGTTAAAAGCGCTTTTCGAACTGCTCAAAAACTCCTAGGTAAACCAGGGCTGAAAGTGTTTTAGTGATTCCCAACCCCTGTGTGTGACACTTTTGCTGGTTAACTAAAGCTGGCCATACACTGCTGGATTGTAATAAAAAAAAATCAAGATTCCTCCATCCATTCTAAACAGCATTGATGGACGAATCTCTTGTGGAGCTATTGTTTTCCGACAGCAGCAGGTGTGCCGCTGTCAGAATACCCAAACAGTGACTGCAGCTGATTGGGTGCAGTCACTGTTCGGCCGACAGTATTCTAAATGAAGGCTGTAGAGTGGAAGGCTGCTGACAGGGCCACCCACTGAGTGAATTTTGGCCAGTGCATCAAGAACCAGGCGAAATTTGCTCAGTGCATGGCCAAGTATAGTTCTGCATATAAACTTGGAGAAAAATATAAATTAAGGCATTATAAAATGTTTCAAAAATATATACTGTATATTGCATGTTTTAAGTGCATATGTTTATTAGAATACAAGATTTTTTTTTGATGGCGGTCCTTTTAACTTTGCAATGTGTAATCACATATTACCTCCTTTTATATTAAACTCCCACCATCCTGTCCCACTGCATATTTCTTGTGTCTTTTTGCTGAGCTAGTGTATTGTTATATTCTTGCTTTATGGAAGCACTCACACATGCCTTTGTCTTGTCATTACAGCCATATATAGAAGAAATTTGTGATAGCCTTCGAGGAAAGATATTTCAGAAGTTTATAGAAAGGTAGGAGTACGTTCATTCTGTACACAAGTTTGTGAATAACGTTTATGATTATCCCTTCTCAGAAAATAGTCTGTACAGATTTGGTTTTGTGGGTTAGGGTTGCAATTTGTGGATACTTTTAAGTGGAATATATTGGCGGGGATTTAAAAAATGGATTTCAAGCACATTGAAATTACAAATAATATATGTAATGGAAGCATCCAGTGAAGCATTATTTCTGCTACCCGATTCAAGGATCATTTTCTATCATTACCGTTGTACAGTATAATCATATGTACTTTTACAAAGATTCCTTAAATCTCCGTTTTGTCAGGGTAAGTAATGTTTAAATCCCAATTCCAGGCTTTTTTTTTTTTTTTTTTTTTTTCCCCCCTT